ATAGTGAAAACATACGTAAAATTTTAATATAATAAGTCTTAAATTACAATACTGGATTGTATATATATATATATATATATATAATACAAATTTTCTAATATAAGACAAATTTATAATTTACGTTATATAAGAATTAAAACCAAAATAAATAAATAAAAGTATTAAAAATTAATAAAAAAAACAAAAGGAAATAACAAATATTAAAAAAATTTTGGTTATTTTCAAAAATCCGCGTATTTTCAATTCAATTGCAATTAAATGGCTATAGTAGCTTTTCTTTTTTCTTAAAAAGTTTAAAACTTTAGAAATCAAATACAAAAAAAAAAATTCATCAGTTTTGATTAGTTAAAAGATAGTTAAAAGTGTTGGTGTGTCCGTGTGTGTGTGTGCGTTTTGTTATGTTTCCTTGGAATATAAAACACATGCAGTTATATTTTTGATATACTACACAAATTCAGCAATAGATACTTATAGTTGTACAATATCACTGACAATATACAAAATTGCAATAAATTTTGTGCGGAAATTAACAAATTAGTTAAAGAATTGTATATGTTTGCTGAATTTTGTGTAAAAATTGCAATATTACTGCAATAAATATTAGTGCCTATATATTGTAACCTATATAACCTATATTGTAACTTTTTATATAAAATTCATACATAGAACAAACTTATATTTTATATAGTATTTGATAAAAATGACGAAAAGATCCCCTATAAAAATTATTTCGTAATTAGTTCGTAATTTCAAATAAAAATAAAGCTTAAATATTTTTAATTTTAATAATTATGTAAAGGGTATCTCGTATCTAAGTGCACTGTTATATACCAACACTGTACAGGTAGACTTCATGAGTAGACAAAACTTTTGTATGGAGACATTATTCACAGCTAAACAAGTTCGAAGTTGTACATAATAAGTTCGGATATGGATAAGAAGTTTTAACTGAGTTATTGTACAACTTTCGAAAAGTTTTGTCTGCTCACCAGGGTCTATACAATTGCATATAGCAGTCCACTTAGATACAAAACACTTTGTATAATTAACTAATCCCTCGTTTTATATTATTTCCTTTGTGTTTTATTATTTAAAATAAACAAACAAAAGTAAGTTATTGACATAAAATCTACACTTTTCTAATATTTTTTTAATCTAATGTAATTTATTCTGTATGTTAGCTAAATTATACATATATGTATATAATACGTTATATAGATTCATGTTAAAGAAACTAGAATAATACTGCGTTCTTTCAAAACTAGAATAATACTGCATTGATATTAATTTAGAAATCACCAAATCATAGGTTGAATTTATATTAATTGCAATTTCGAATTTAGAAATAAAATGAATTAATATTTTTCACATAAGTATCATGTACCATATTTTATATGTATAAATATTCTTCCTTTCAAAATTGCATTTAATATAATTATAATATATTAATAAAAATTCAGCTTATTAATTTGTAATTGCTGAATTGTGTATAGCAATACAGTTATTATTGTATAATTTTATAGTATCGATATATTTACACTTAATTATATAATATAATTATATAGTAATTTAATTTAATAATTTAAAATTAAGAGAAAATAAAAATATAATTATAAATAAATGAATAAATAGTAACTAAAATCAACAAGATTAGACTAAGAAGAAATAATGTATGTATATCCTTTCAGAATTTATTTTCTATAAATGTATTTAATTTACTTTTAAAACGAAAAAGACTCTAAAACAGTAGAAATGTTGAAAAATCATAATATGTAATTTTCCAAATTTAATTTAAAGGTTCAATTTTCCAGTTTTTTTCAACACTAAAACAAAAATATAGTATATCTAGTTTATTTAATTTTAAATGATATTATCCATAACTTCAAAACCGAATCAAAAAAATAACAGTAACACGATCTTCAGACACAATTGGGTTTAGGAATTATATTTCCTAAATCGTGCAGTATAACGGTATTATTCTGAATTCTGAAGTTAAGGTATAATAATTATACGCTATAATAAAAAATACATTGTATATAAAGATGTAGATCTAATACTAAATACAAAAAAAAATACTATAAATATGTATATATTTCGTGTGTGTGTGTGTTTTTGTATTTATGTGTTTTAATATATTCATTTATAACATATTTATTAAAATTCTGCATATATTATATAAACTAAATATATATTACCTATGTATAAATATTATAAAAAAAAAATATCGTATATCACAACAAATAAAGTATTGCTCTGAAATTCGCACAAAATATTCATTTTGCTTATATATTAATTTATTTATTTAATTTACAAAAAAAAAATATTTTATATAATAATATATAATGTATATAATTTAAAAAAGAATTAAATATATACTTTGAAAATTATATATAGAGGTATAAGTATAAATATTATAGAGGTAAAAAGAGGGATTAAAAATATAAAAACTCGATTCACTGTTTTGTTGTGTTTTTAAATTTGGGATTGAATCGGGAAATTAAATTCCGCTTTGTTTCTTTTGTATCAGAAATTTGGATTTTTGATGTATTGCATTATATATATATATATATATGCCCATTTATGTAAAAAGGTTCGACGCACAATTCAAACAAAGAAGTGAATCTAGTTTAAAGGGGGGCGGAAAGATGGAGTGTGGGGATGCGAATAATAAAGATTAATTTCTTTAATTTGAAAGCACAACAAAAAAGAAAAAGTATATAGAAACGAGAACAAAACAAAAAAAAAAGAAATCTTACATAACGCAGAATGAAAGATCAGGGAAGACAGCAAAATATTTTTATACAATATAATTGAGACGTGTATTTTTTTTTTTTTTGGGGGAGAGGTAATGGGGAAATTATTTACCTATTTTTAACTTAAGTTATACACCTATTTTCTCTAAAAAAAAAAAAACAAATTAAGCGGAAATTTTCTAAATTTTATGCATATTGTATATATGAACTAAATCTATATACAGATTGATTAAGTAAAGAATACAATATTACATTATTTAGAGCATCGAAAATGGATAAAAATTTTTGTTTGGAGTTCAACGGTTTCCGAGATACAGGGATTTTAACGAATTTTCACGAAATTTCTACTTTCCTAAGCTTTTTTGCTTATTTCAGAAAATGTTCATTTGGAGCTTCTATCTTTTTCGAAAAGGCAGTCATAAGATATGCCTCTGTATCTCGATAACCGTTGAGTTTTGACGACTAGGGTGAAAAAAAATATTACACATTTTTCATGTCCTAAACAATCATATATAATATTGTACTTCTTACTGAATCACCCTGTATATGTTATAAATATATGATAGGATTATTATGTATTACGATTGTGTACATACATGAATTCAGTAATATACATATTGGTTCAGAAAGCAAAATTATGATTTTAGAAGTCCATATACATAATAATTTATATGAGGCTGCAATTCCACAATTTATATTTCTTCCATTGTGGTTGTATAATACACAATTCAGCTTCACAAATATATTTGTATAATTACTGAATTTTGTATATATAATATATATAGTAATTTAGTATTGCTGTATAATTTTGAAATCAAGTTTTTAATTATGATTTCAAAATTTTTGCTGTATAATTTTATAATTTAATTAAATCATAATAACATAATGTATATAATATGTATATACCTATATGATATATACTGTCTTACTGTATATAATGTATTTCATTTTTTGATTATTGCTGAAATTCTATGTGGAAAGTACATAATAATCCTATGATATACGCTTATACATTAAAATATATTAATTTTTACTAAAATTTGCGATAAAATAATTATTTTTTTTTTTATTTTCAATTTTGTTTAATTACCTTATATATACGATATATATGTATATGTTATGCTATCTTATTTAAGGACTTTATATAAGAATTATATATTTATATAATAATTATGTATATATAGGTATATATATATGAATATGTACGTATTGTATATAAATATAAATATTCCGTACAACATATAGTGCTTGAGAGACAAAACCATATAAAATTTGAATTTTTTCATCGTATTAAATTTTTGCTATTTTGTATACAATAAATAATTTTTGAAATTATATATGAACGTCCTGTTCATATTTATATGTTGTAAAGAGTACATATACAATATATACATATATATATATATATATATATATATATATATATATATATATATATATGTATATATATATTTATAATTTAAAGAATAAAAATAAAACATAAGTATAATTTTTTTTTTATTTTATTTTCTCTAATTAAGGGTCAAATTAATTAAAAAAGGAAACAGTTATAAAATACAATATAGAGGATATTTTGTCTTTTTTTTAATATTAAGTTTTTAATGAAAATTATACATATACAAATTGCATACATAACTATATTTGATGGAATATTATAATAGTTTTTATATAAAAAATAATAATATGTTAAATTAAACAGAAATATTTAATATATATATATGTGTCTAAGATTTATTCTATGAAAATAACATAAAAATAAAAACGAAAATAAAAAGGACAAAAAAAAAAAAAAACAATAAAATATAATATAAAAACGTTCTTTGAAATAAAATTTTAAAATATTTGGGCCTTATTTAAAACCCTTTAAAAATTTTTTTAATGAACTGAAATATTACCGTTTGTTCCGGTATACACTCTTGAATTTGTATAAAGTTAAGTATACATGTGAAAATCTCACTTTTCAATTCACATATGTATATACATGTAAATAAACGCGCACTGATATATCAGGGAACTATACGGATATTTAAGTTTATATATAAATAGAAGGACCGAATGAAACATATATAAGTATTTAAAAAAAAAAATTTTTAATTTTTAAACTTTAAATATAAATTTAAAAATTTTAAATTCTATTTCAAAGAATTTATTATATAAGAAAACAAAAAAGAAAAAAATAAAAGCAAAAAGTTTATGATGAATAATATAGTAGAGAATAAGGAATAAATAGAACCTAAAATAACTTACCACATCAACACCATCTACAGTACAAAGTTTAAAACTTTGATTTTTAGCATCTAATATCACATTTGTCATGGTACACATTTCAGATGGTATAATATAATCAGTCGATATGAATGCAATTCCCTTTTTCGCCCATGATTGAAATGCTGAATCAGTACGTTGAATACATGATTCAATCATTTCACATGCCATTAATTTAAGGCGTTGCTCCAAATGCTGGCGAAATTCAGCATCTGGCCAATGTAAATCACGTATAAATGATTGTAAGGCATCTAATTTCCAAAATAGATCTTCAGATGTTGCACAACCATTTCTACATGTTTACCATATATTTTTTGTTTTTTATATATTACATATGTACGAATAAATGATAATGTTTTTTGTTTTTTTTTTTTAAATATTTTTAAAATGTTCGTGAAATGGCGCCATTAAAAATGTTATTAAAAATGAATTTTTTTTTCAAATTTTATATTTTTTTTTAAATTTTAAATTCAAAAGCGAGAGTATATATTGTAATATACGAGTATGTAAAACGAAAAAAGGCAATGTTGTACGAAAAATACCAATTATAAAAAAAAAAAATTAATTGTAGGCAAGCGCATTTCATTTTTTATTTTAATTTAATGTAAAATGTTTTTTTTTTTTAGCAAATAATGTTAAAAATATATTTTGTAAATTTTGAATATATGGTTTTCGTTTATATGCGTTTTTTGATTCCAATTTTGAATTTTATTTTATTGTTCAAAAAAAATAAAAGAAAAATTTAATAGTTAAAAAAATTTCAAAAATATTTTTTTTTTTTCAATTTTTTTTTTTCATTTAAAACAAAAAAAAAAAATATTAAAAATAAAGTTGAGTTAGTAAAGTAGCACTTTTCCGTTCAACAAAGTAAAATATTACTCTTAAAAACAATCTATTCGAACATTATTATTTATATATCTATTAAATTTTTTGTATTCATGTGCAAAAATATTGCATACATTTAGGGATTTGGGCAAAAAAAATGTCTGCATTTTAAATATTTAGAAAAGCTTACAGTTGCCGAAAATCAAATTTTACGATTTTCGGGCGATGTTAATTTAAAAGGGATAAAGGTGGAAAAAATTTGCCCTCAACGAAATAAATTATCTTTTAATTTCTACAAGCTGCAAAAAATTCAGAGCTTTACAATTCAGGGTTTAGTTTAGAAGAAAAACGATATCAAAAATTAAGTTCCAGAATCCGTAACTTTTATAAAAGGACAGAAGGGGGGAGGGAGATAGGTAAAAATTTTCTTCTACGGAAGTAAGTTCTAAGTAAAGATCTATGTACATATCTATATATACAAATAAGAACTGAGGTCTGTAATTCTGGAATGGAAATTCCAGTTTTCTATTAGAAAGAAATGATAATCTTATATGATATGCCGGCTGCGTAGCAAGCTTATTCAACTTGCATATAATAACAGTTCTCTATCTTAAAGGTAATAAAAGTTTTGTAAACAGACACACGAACAGGTGATGGATGCACTGGTGGTTGAACCGATTGATGGACGGACAGAGTAACTAATATGTACTTTTTTTTTAATTTTTTTTGGAAAAGCGCTAAGAACTAAAAAAAAGCAGAATAAAATAAAATTAATAGTAAATAATTTTAATATTTATTACTAACCCTTTGCTTTCCCATCGTTCTTTTTCAAAACCTTTATGTATTGATTGTGCTATCGATGATTCCATCAAATCAACATATCTAACTACAAGAGGAGCAAATGTATCACGCAAGTGTTGATGAAATCTTCCATTTTTCAAATTATCTATATATATGTATATATATATATATATACGTATGTGTATAGAAAGTGCAAAATATAGAAAATAGTTAAGTTATATATTTAATATAAATTTATATGTATTGGTTGTTGAAAAAAAAACACACACACAAAATACTCAATATATGTGGTGTTATAATCGTTTGTGTTCCCAGAATTCGCGAAAGTTTTAAAATGACTAAATGACTAAATTTAATATTCTTGAGAATATTAAATTCTCTCTTTAGTCGCATCAAATATTCCATATAGTGTAAAATTGGATAATATTCTATCTAAAATATAGATTTCGGAATAATATTATCATTCATTTCCTATATTAAAGTAAACCGAAGGTATTGAAGAACGTACATATATTTTATGATTAAATAACGGTTTCAAAAAAATCTATTGTAAAATTTATTTCAAAAATTTTGCTTTTGCATTCGAATTATTGATTTATAAGGACTCAAACTATAATCAAAAAAATTAAAAAAACGGGCAATTTTCGCAAAACTAAAACCATAAATTGGAGTTCCAGTTAATTTCGAGAAGCAGCGCGATAAAAAAGAAAACAAAATGTCTTCAAAGTTATTTTTTTTTGTAATAATTCAATTTTGTTAATCTGTCGAGTTTCGAACACACCCGTTATAAAAAAAATTTCAAACAATATATATATTTTTATTTTGTTGTGAATAAAATACAATTTAAATTGTAATATGTACAATATATATATAAAAACTACTTACCATCAGTTCTTAGATAATCATTTAATATTTGGAATAATGGGAATGAATCCCATGTATCTGGTGGTTGTTCCGACAAAACACGATCCATATCAACAGCAAATAATGACCAAAATATTTCCGCATGTTCTACAAGCAAGTCACTGAACCATGCAAATGCCTATATATCATATATATACATATATATATGCATGCATATATATGTATATACATATATAAATGTTTTTTTTTGGTTGTGTATTTTTAAATATAGCCATATATGTTTTGATCATATTTTGTGATGTATGAGATATGATGTTTTGTCAATAGACGTCAATCAAATATTCAAGCGTCAATCAAATTTGAGATAATTCCAAAAAAAATTTTGGGCAACAGGCATCAGTTTTATTAGTTTAAGTAATCGCAAAGAGGAAGAAAAAAAAATGAATATGAATTAAAAAAAAAATTTATTTTTTGTCTTTTTTTTTTGTGTGATTTTTAAAACAAAAAAAAATAATTTAGTTTTTATTTAATTTTTTTTTGCCTATTTTTTTTAATATCATGTTTGGATTATGTTTAAAAAATTAATTAAAAAAATATTAAAATTCGAAATATTTGATATGAACGGGATCTTGTGAGACCAAAGACCGCACTGTATATATTTTTCGGAATAAAAAATGATAATATTTTACATCGGAATTAATTACATCTGGCCGTCATGAAATGTGATCGAAATTTTATTGGTTCTATATGTAGTAAATGTTTTAGATACTCGTAATCTTAATATTTTCGGAAAAAGTTTAATAAAATTTGTTCTTGAAATTGATCAAAAAATCATCCCTGAAAATATTGGCCACCTTATGTGAAACTCTGCATACTATGAACATTTATGAAATCAATTTAATGTTAAAATAAATTAAATGTTAAATTTTTATTTACGTACTTTTTTTAAAGTAACACACACCTGAACCAGTAACCCTACCTTCCATTATTATATACAGTGCGATCGGTACATGTAATATACAACAAAAGAAAACTTAATAAAATCAGAACTTTGAATATATTATGAAGAAAAAAATAACGGAAGCATTAATACAATCAACTTTTCCCGTATTTTTTGAAATTTTTTTTGTTAATATAAAAAATATTCGAGTTTTCTATAGCTGTATTTTAAATATTCAGACTTCAACTATACTAATTCAATTATAAGTGTAATTTGCACGTTTACATAAAACGTGAATATGTTCAAAAAATCTCCAACTTGAAATATTTCGGAATTCGAATCTGTTTTGGTTATCGTATGTGTCGATTCCATGGATTCTTCCATGTCGAATCCAAACATCTGAAATATATGAAGTAAACTGTTTTTTTTTTTTTTTTGTATTTTGAGAACCTTGTGTACGCGTTCATTTAGTGGTTTTCTCTTTTAATATTTTTTATTAATAATTGATTGTTATCGATAGTTTTGATTATACAAAGAAAAATTGATTGCAAATCTAAAATATGTTGCCTTTTCCCAACATATCAAAAATCTTTGTATTGACGTCTTTGAACTCGGAATTCTACCACGTAAATGTCATTAATCACAATATATAAAACGTTGCTAACGTAATTAATAATAATTTTAAGTGCGTTTTAAATTCTAAATAAAATTATAATTATGTCAATCTGAAAAATTTTATAATTGCACAGTTAATTGAATGATTATAAGTTTTTTGACATATTGGGGAAACACAACCCTTAAATATATTTTTTTTCTTTTGCCATGATATTTTTTTGTTTCATATCAGTATTAACTATATGTGAAATCAAGCGATTAATTTTCATATTTGTTTCAAATTTTTTTATATTATGTAATTTAGGTTGTTTAAATTAAAAGAACAGATTGTGTTTTAAGTCAAAAACCGAACATAAAAAACTAAAAAAAAATAACAAATTAAATTAAGAGTAAAAATTATTTTAAAAGAAAAAATAAAATAATTCAATTGTAAAAAAATATAGAAATAGAAATAGTTTTTATAATTTTTATTTAATTAACTATTTTGTGCTAAATTCATAACTATTTTTTGATTTTTTTTCTAAATATTACTTTAAAAGCCAAAATTAACTAAAAGAAAGCTTAATAAAACAAGATTTAAGTATATAATATGCAAATATATAAAAAATAAAGTTTAATCGAAAATATTTGACATTTGAGTTTGACATTCTAAACCCTTAAACATCAATGTCAATTTTAAATTGAATTGAAATTTTCAAAAAAGTCAAACTTACATTTTAATATTATATATGTAGAATTTCAATTAAAAAAATTTATAAAACTATGTAAAAACTTAGAAAATAATTTAAACCTTTGGTTGAGATGGGGGGGGGGGGGCAGAGAGTTGCACGGAGTTGTAGAGAGCTGAACGAAATGGTTTCGCTTTTGTAAAGAAACAATGTTACAGATCTGTTATTTGCAAGATATATATAAATATATATATCAATAAATTAATTTGAGATTTTTACACAGTTTTATAAATTTCAAGTTCTTAACACAGTGCGCGTTTTTTGAAGAATTCGTATCTCGAAATTTCTGGAATAATATTGTTAAACGTGATGTATATATACATATATTTATTTTCTTTACACTTATTATTAATACATAATATATAAATAAACGGATACATATGTATATATAAATATTTATTTCTACTTTAGTAGTTATATAATATTATTCTTTCATCCCATGTTATATATAGAACAATACATAATAGCACGTATTATAGTAACTGTTTAAATATAAACACAATAATAAATTACGAATTACATGTAATATAGAAAATGTTATTACATTTACTAAATAAACACATGTACATACAAATGCGTGCAAAGATAAATATAAGTCTCTACTATATTTTGCTAATTGTGTTTTACATGCAAATACACAGTATGCAGCATGCAAATAAAAATTTATAATAGAAGCATTAGCAAGAACAGTAATTAATATTTCAAACAATTAATTTCTATATGTATACATACATATTTATATATACATATGTTTATATATATATATATATATATATACACATAAGAAAACAGGAAAAGAAGCGTATATGTACATATATCGCATATATAGAATAAAACTAACCCATAAGATAGTAAAATATCGCATAAAATTAAGATTATAATAATAACACGGAATTCTGGATTAATCAAATATCGTAAGAAACAATTAAAATTTCTAAAATTAAAATGACAGTAACACGGAATTCCTGTGTATATAAAATATCGTACAGTATAAATATAATATTGTAAAAATTATTTGATGGTAGCAAGAAATTTCAGTGCACAGTATTGAAATATTGTATATCAACACATAAGCGCCCACAATGTATGTGTATTGTCTAGTTTAGTGAAAGTGATACAAAAGATTATGAAAATTCGTTTTAAACATTTATTTACAGTTTTAAGGACGCTAGTAAGCTTTTAATTAACATACCTAGGAAAATGAAAATTTGGCTCTTAGTAGAATTTCGCTTTTTGCCACCCGATTCCCTGAAAAGTTCAGCAGTTTTTTTCGGTAATAACTAGAACTCAAATATCAAATTTCAGGAAATTCCATTAATCCGTTTTGTAAATATGGTAAAAAATATGAAATCGGCCCCCGTTTCGTTTTCTGAGCCCTGATCTTTTCAAAAAATTAATAGGTTCATTGTTTTAATATATCGAATTTAAATATTAAATTACAGTTCTCGAGGTCTGATATACTCAAAAAGTTAATCAATCCATGTCACAGCAAAAATAAAATCAAATATAAAATTTCATAAAAATCGGTTCAGTCGATCTTAGATACACGCATGTACACACAGACAGACACCTCTATAGACAGACACCTCTATAAAAGTAGTTTATTTACGCATCCCTTCTATGTAGAAATGCGTTTCCACCGAAAACTCGATATGCAGAATCTCCCTATTGTACGAGTATGCAATGAATTGATGAGATAAAAAACGAAATTCTTGGGCGCGATGGAGGTAGTTGTACGATATAATACTACTATTTTTTTTTTTAAGTTTTATTGCATTTTTTTATTTTGAATTTATTTTGATAATTGCTTGAATTTATTCCAATTCTAGTATCAAGGATTATTTCAATTTTCCGATTTACTATACACAATTTTCATCGAAAAATCTTTTGCACTTGAATTTTTTTTAAATCTGTTTTATTCTATATGTTTATTATAAAATATAATTTTTGCATACAAATTTGCTAAAAAAAAATTTTAAAGAAATAATTACATAAGAAAGAGAAAGCAGAAAAAAAGGGCAAAAGGCAGTTTAGTAAAATAATTAATAAAATTATAAAAAATTTCCAAATTAAAAAAGAGAAAAGTAAATTACAATTGAAGGAATATATTGCATATAATTTTAGTAATAATAAAAATTAAATTATAAATATAATTCTTTCTTTTTTTGTGTTTTTAAGTTGTGACTTCAGAATTACATTAATACTATATTGCTTTCCAATTCAGCAATTACAACTCATAAGCTGAATTGTAATATTAAAATAGTTTTTATTGTAATTTTAAAGTCATGGGGAAAATATGATTATAATAATTTATATATTAATTTTTTTTTTCTTTGATATAATTGATTTTTTTCTGAGCCGGATTTAATATTATTTAGGGTAATTCATCAACAAGTTAGGAGCCATATACCATTGGGGAGAGGGTCAAAAATAAGTAAAATTTTTGTTCGGAACATAGTGTTAAAACTTCTACCCTTTTTGAAACGAAAGTTATAGGCAAAACCACTTAAGTATGTTAAAATTTTGCCAAATTTGCTTTAAATCCCTGCAGCTCGGAAACGATTCCAAGTCAACACTATGTTCAAAACAAAAATTTTACTCATTTTCAACCCTCTACTTGATGGTAGAAGGCTCCTGTTGGTGAATCACCATGTATATTAAAAATAATTATGTTTATAAAAATTTCAATAATTTTGTGCTTGATTTAAATTTAAAAATTATTGATTTTCTTTTTATTTGTTTTTTTTTTTTTTAAATATATTATAAAAATAATAAATTCATTTACAAATGTAACAAAAAAAGTACTCATATAATATTATTCATATTGAATAAATATTAATTTGTAAATTTATTAATTATTATGGTATAATTGAATTAATTTTAATTAAGCTGTACGCGAAATATTAGCTCATTTAAAATTATAATATTAATTGAGTGTTTATTCTTTTCTAATTTTTGTGCGAGTATTTTGAATAATCAAGTTTTTATCTAAGTGAATACTTTGAGTAGTCAATTTAAGCAAGAATTTTGAGTACTCGTTTTAATTTTAATCGAATATTTTGAGTATTCTCTTTTAAATTAAGCGAGTATTTTAAGTATTCACTTTTATTTTAAGCGAGTATTAAAATTTAATTCTTCTTAAAATATTTTCAACAGTATTAGTTAGTACGAGTTCCTTTAGGCATTCACTTTTCACTTAAAATTTAATACTTAAAATACTCGTATAATGATTTAAGTCATAAGTACTTTTAGAGTTACATATTATATAAATATATAATAAAAATTATATAACGAATAATAAAGAGTGTATACGTAAATAGTTATAATATTTCTGCGAATAGCAAAAAGTTAATTACATTTTATAAAAATGAAAATAAAAAAAAATATTATTTTCTAAAGAAAAAATATAATCTTTAATTTGAGTATATAATATAAAAAGAAATTAAAAAATACAGAATTGAAACGGGAAAACATGTTAAAGAAAAGATAGAAAAGGACGAAAGGGTTAAGTGGTTATACTCGTTAATTGTTTTTTTGTGGATAGGGGTGCAGAAGGGATGGGGGTGTTGTAAAGATTGTCATTGAATAACTGTATAGGTGCATGTTTTGTTTATTAAAAAAGAAACATAATATATTGTATATATGTATACATAAATATATATATATATATATAAATAAAATACATTAAAAAACAAAATAAAATTATATGATACTATAAAAGGAAAAGTAAAGTTGGGTAACTACATATAACAAAGAAAAAAATTAGATTAATTTATTACATAATTAATTAGTATAAGCAAATAAGCATTATAATATAAGGGTATATAGTTATTGTTATTAAAAATAAGTTTAATTCAAATTACGAATATCTAAAATAATCAGTCGATAAATTCAATCACAGAATGAATTAAAAAAATAGAATATTGAAAATCTTAGGCTAGATTTCCTTGTTTTCTAAATTGTGAGTCGTCGTCAGGTTTGTTTTTATGATAGCTCAATACCCAATTGGAGGGTTGGAGTGGAACGCTGATTATTCGATATGCTGAAAATTTGGTTTAATGTTAGAGCTCATGAATTGAACGTTTGCGACACGCATTAAAATAAATTTCGCTGAATAGAATATACATAAAGTAGGTGTACATAACAAGTATTATTTTTTTTGAATAGATCGCTACAGTACCAGTGAAATTTTGGCAAACATCGAAACTGTTATAATTAAAATCGAAACATTAGATTGTTAAGCTCGCTTTAATTTTATCGATTGATCATTTGCGATCTTTCGTAATAGATTTTTTTTGATTAAGTTTGTTTAGTTTGATGTTTTTTGCTGTGTATAATAATTTTTAAAAAAAAAAATATATTATTATTTAAAGAATATATGTATATGTACATATTTACTTATGTCCTTAATATATATATATATATATATATATATATATATATATATATATATAATAATAAACAGTGAAAAAAATCAATAAAGTGACTAAAATCAATAAAATAAAATTAAAAAAAAAATTTTTTTTTTGCAAAATATTTTTCAATCTGTTTTGAAATTTTACCAATACAGGGGGTGAGGAAAGTGTGGCTAAAAATTTTAAAAATTTTAAAAATTCTTATGATGTTTTTGCCCAAATATTTGCTTATATTATGAATAAAATTAACTCCAATTATAAGTACTATAAGGATATATTGAAAAAAAAAATCTCTTAACTTTTGATCTATAAATTTCATTTAAGAACAGTAATACGGTATAAATACACAATCCAGCTTATAAGCATGACTTGCTTATTATTTATCAAGGTATATATTTCGTATTTAATATATACGAAAAAAAGATAAAAAATCATTACGAAAAATATCCTTCAAACTTTAGAATTAAATTTATTGTTAAATTAATTCACACCATCCATAGCTTATATTTGATTTAAAGCTGCTGAATTGTTTAATTGAATATTGCTTTCAATTATGAAGTCAGAGATTTCGTTTTGACTTAAATGCCATAGAATTCAATTATAAATTTTATTAATTTACGCAATATCAAATTTTAATTGTATAGTTGATAAATTTGATATATTTATTGTATATATTTTATTTGGGTTTTTTTTCAAGCTTGGTTCTTTTACCTTTTTGTCACCCCCAGTTGGCCTCTTTTCTTACCCTCATGTACTGGTGTTGTTATATAACAACTTATTATATAAAAAAACCATGTGTATTTACAAAAGATTAGAAACAAAGAGCTTGTAAAAGTAAAAAAAAAAAAATTTAAAAATTGATATTTAAAAAATTTTTTCAACTGTAAATCACTATAAATGTTAAGGTACATTTCATATGTAATTTATATACATATACATGCATTAAAAAACAACTTTTGTGTAACAAAAACCCAAAATAAAAATAAGAAAAATTAAAACAAACAGTAAAAGAATAAAAACAGTTTAATTTTTGTTTTTTTTTCTTTTTTGTTACTGTTAAAAGTCAACAAAAAAAATTTTTTTTTTTGTTTTTTGTTTCTGTTTTTTGTTTTTTTAATAATACGTGCCGTTGGAACAGGGGCAGTGTAGACGGCATGCGTTGGCATACAATAGCGATATGGTGCCGGTGATTTTTCTCCTTCATTCTTTTTATCTTTTTTATCTTTTGATGAACCACCGCTTTTATTTTCATTTGTTGATGCTGATAGTAGTGCGCTAGCAGCACTTGTAACTGTTGCAACAACACCACTTGCGCTACTTACAACATTACTACCATTTTTAGCATTATTTTGTGTATCGCCAGTACCAGCAGCATCACCACTCCCACTGCCATCACCACCATTTTGTACATTTTGTTTATCACCACCACCACCTGTTTGATTATTTGGATCATTTGTATTACCACCAGTAGTACCATCACCAGTTTTAGCATTTGAATCACCACCACCAGTTCCACCACCCTGCTCATTCGCTTTATTTGCTTTTTCTTGATATGCTGGATCACATTTTTTTAACTATATTTATATATATAGTTATGTTTTTATATATTTTTATTATTTTTGTATTATATATTTTTTTTTGTATTAGATGCAAGCGCATATATTACGTGATATATTCATATTACATGATATATACAATATTTTGCGCGATATATTTCAATAATATTATTGTTAAATTTTTTTATTAATTTTTTTTTTTGTAATAAAATTTTGAAGAATGTTTGTAAAAAAGTATAAATTATTGCAGTTATTTGTAATTATGACATTGTAGTTATTGTTGTAGTTGTAATAATATAGTTTTTTTTTGTTATAAATATTATTATTATTATTTTTTGTTATTTAAATTATTTTATTAAAAATTTATTATTAAAGTATTAATTTTTTTTATTTTTGTATTTTTGTATTTTATATATTATATATTATATTTAATATTTGTTTTGTAGTAGAGTAGAATCACGGTTACACATACAAAGACATAAAAAATATTAAAAAAGAAAAAAAAGAAAAATAAAAAACAAGAATATATAGATGAAAAATAATTAACACATAAAAATTAAATATGTTTTTTTTTTTTTTTTGAAAAAGAGGGGGGATTAATAAATAGAAAGATTTTAAATACATACATACATATATTATATTACAATAAAAAAAAAACTTATAAAGAAATGGTATACATGTATTTATTCGTATGTATATACACATATATGTATATATAATATATATAATGTATATTATATATATACAGCCAATTTGCACTATATACCGTATATATAAAGTATTTTGTTATAATATGTAATGCAGAATATAATATAAATTATATTATCTGAGTATTTATTATTTGTGATTACGAATGGCGCCGCAGTTATACTAGACAATATTGATCATGATCAATAATTGATACCTTATATATTATTAATTAACGTTTACTATTTTTTAAGGCATTTATCCCCGCAATTAAATTATGCTGAAAACCAGATATACAAGTTTAAATTGACTGCATTTCTATATATATACTATATATACTTTGACTTTCAAAATTTAGTAATATGGTATTTAATATACAATTCAGCAATTCAATTTTTTTAAGCTGAATTGTATATAAATTAATATACCGTGTGTTACTGAATTTTGAAAATCAGGATACTGTAAATAAATATATATATTTTTTATTATATTTTTATAATGTGATAGAGAGTTTATGCAAAAAAAAAATTTATATAAAATCATGTTGTTGTTACTATATTAAATGTTTGTAAAATTTAATTTTTTTTTCTTTTGTTCAAATATTAATCCTTTATTTGTATATTATTATATTTTAAATTTCATCTTTGAGACCCTATTTATACAAGTATAAACTCCTTATTTAAAACCATGTTAATTCAAAAGAAATATTAAAACAAAAATATTAATAAATAAATTTAAATAAACAAAAAAATTCTGACTTCAAAATTACAATATCAAAATCAAAATTCTTCAAAAATACGATATTAATACACAATTCAGCTTATGAATTGTAGTTGCTGAATATTGTGTAGCTCAATATCATAATAAATATGGGTTATTTTGAAGTCAATAAAACTATTATATAAGAAATGTCAAAAATCCAGAACTTCTTTCTAACAATTATAATCGAATTACTCATATATATGTACTACCGAACAGAGATATGGGCCAAAGAATTCCTCCCTCCAATCACCACAGCCATCCATGGCTTATTGTAGCCCTATTATATATGTATAATATGTACTGTAGAATATATGTTTAATATTGGTTAAAATTTCGATTTTAATAAATTTGTATTTTATCAATTCAATCCGTATATAGATTGTCTTTAAAACTCTTCAAAACGAAATATTGAAAATTATTTTGTTTATTGTTACGCACAGCTCGAACATTGAATATTTCAGAAAAAACATTTTTTTTTATTATTTACCCTGACTTAAAATGCAGTTACGAGTACACGCGGTATTAATACATAATTTATACCATACAATATACAGCATTAATGCAGTACACAAAATTCAATTTCTTAAATTGTGTTATTGCTGAATTGTTTAATAATATCGTGCTTTTTACATTGAGAAAGGTTTATTATAAATTTCACATATAGCAAAAAACAAACAGTTTAACAGACAGTTTAACAAACAGGGGGCAGCTGCTGATTTTATATCAGAAAAATCGCAATAAAATTGAATTACGAGTAATTTGTAATTGCAACATCCCTTTAAATATAGAGATTGTCAACAAAATAAAAAAAAGTGACATTTCCTATATAAAACTGGATTATTATTATATAACTACAAATAAAATTAAAAAAATAATAAATAAATTGTTTAAAATATTCCGAAACCGCCTTTTTTTTAACTGTACCATAAAAACGATAAAATGAATTATTTTGATGTTGCCAAGTTCATTCTTAATATTAGCAAATTTTTAAATCGAATATGGTTTGTTTCAATCAATATATAAATTATATATATATATATATAAATTGTTAATTAAAAAAAAAATAAGAGTTAAAATAAAGTAAAAAATAATTTAAATCAATAAAAATGGATGAATTCAAATTTTTATAAAACAAATATCAATATTATTCCATATATAACAGTTATATAAAACAGTTTCATATAGAATGGCAGATTTTAAATTGTATACCTCAAGTCTTTGATTATATATCAAAATTTATAGATTTAACATCAATTTGACCTATATATTCAGTACATAATTAAAATTATATATCTTTGAATATGAAAAATTGATGTTGGACCCGCGTTTTTGTATATAAACGACACACATACCTTGTCTAAACAGAGAAAATAGAAAAAATTTGAAGTTTTTCAATAAAGAATTTGAAAATATCATTTTTGACAAACTATTTGTGCATGTATATAGATTAGAATTACAGTTAATAAAACAGAGTAGAAAAATGTTTTATACTATACTAATTCAATATCAGTATTATAATGTAATTATGAAGATAGTCCGCCCGTATGACTATATTAAAATCGCAATAAAATTGTATTTGCTGCATACAATTCATAACCTGAATTAAGTGCTTTTATAATGTTATAACATTATTATAATATTACTACTATTATGTAGTCATGGTATTATTATGCAATTACAACGTTATAGGCAAAAAGTTTTATTTCATTATTAATGTTGAATTTAATGAAGGAAATAAGGCGGGATTAAAAATTAAATAAAAAATAATAAAAAATGATAATGAATTTTTTTTTGAAAATGAATGTAATTATATATACTTTTTAATTTTAATTATTCGAATATTTTGCTATATATATATTAAAATTATTTTATTAATAGAAATTATTATATAATTAAAGTAAAAAATAATTAAGAAAAGAATATCAAACGAAAAAATTCAAAATAAAATTATTTTTTATGATAAATTTAATAGCATTTAGTTCTAAAAGAATTCTTCACTTTATAGTTTACTTTTAACTATATATGTACAATAAACCATTTCATATTTTCCAATTTAAATAAATCAACTTCTTATTATATAATTTTTAAAATATTTTACAATATTAACGGAATTATAAAGTTAAATAACAAATAATTTTCATTTAGAAAAGGTTTTCGTTCGGTTTTGATATTTTTCGTATAATAATTATAATTTTCAATTGTGCGTAATTGAATAATAAGAATTGAAATTTTCGTTGCCTATTACTTGCAATATAATTAAGATTAAAAGAATAAAATATACTATATGTAACTATTTCGTAAAATTTTGTTTATCATTTTACTACTATTTACTAATAAGTATATAGACTATTTGTATATAGAAAAACTAATTTATAGGCTGACTTATCCAGATCATTTATGATACTTTACATATAAAATAGCATAAGTTGAACAAATGAGCTGAATACCATACCAAAGACTATAATAATATCATCTTTAAATTTGGTTCAGCTCTAGTTATGGATTGCTGAATTCAGTTTAAATATTTGTCGATTCTGAGTTGTATTTAAAAATAATATTACTATACATTACGGAACTTAATTTTCCATTTTTTTTTTGAATATTATTATGCCGTTTCGATAATTTATTTATTTTTTTAAGTTTTATTTGAATGGGTCGTTTGTATATACTTATAACATCTTCTAAATTTATCTATATAATACAAATTCTTAATAACTATATATAATATTATTGTAGTATACTCGTATATATATGTAAAACTTTCAGTTTTAAGCTCTCTTTGATAAACATTTTACATTTTGTATATATATATAGAAACACATTGACTTCCAAAATGCAGTTTATGATATTATTATACAATTCAGCAACTCACACTTGTATACTTAATTGTATATTCATATCGTATTACTTACCGTATTTTGGAAATCAAGGATATTAATAATATTGTACAAATATATAAGTTTTCTTTTATTGAAATTGCTCCTTTTTTGTCTGATATGTTATTTGTTATATTAGATATATGCTATATAATACATATTCAATATACATATGAGAATATAATGATAGTAAAAAAAAGAAAAAAATAAATAGAAGAAAAAAAATTAAAAGTAAAAAACAAAAGAAATTTATAAAATAAAATTAAAATTAAGCTATAGCAAATTAAAATTATAAATTGTTTAAAAAAAAATATACAATCTTGCATCAGAATTTCAGTTCAGAATCTCTAATCCTCTTAAAAATTACGATAATGTTGTATTGATACAAATTGTTGCAATTGAAATTTATAAGCTGAATTGTGTTCTTAGCGCAATTCAACAATTAAAACTTTAATAAGCTGAATTGAGTGTTAATATACTATATTATTTGAATTTTTGAAATAAAGATTTATTATTTATCCAATTCAGCTCATGAATTCTAATTGCTGAATTTTGTCAGCAATATGATAATTAGCATTATGAAATTCTGATGATAGATTTTTATTTTTTTTTTATTATCTTAAATTATAAATTAAATATTTATTATATATGTTTCTTTAATTTTAAATTAATAAGAAACTATATAAATTTAAA